GAAGTCACTGGCTGAGCATGCGTGTGGTTCTGGAGAGACTCTGGGAGAGGGGGCACGAAATCGTTGTGGTGATTCCTGAAGCCTCTTTGCTCATGAAAAGCTCACAATCTTTTACCATCAAAACATACTCTGTGCCTTACACACAGGATTTTTTGGATACATACTACCATTCCATCGGTGAAAAAATTTTTAATAACCCTCCCTTTCTAGAAAAAATTACAATTTTACTCAGCAATATATCAGAACTGACCAACATGTTCTCTTCTGCCTGTCGGCATCTCTTATACGATGAAGAACTTATGAAGTACCTCCAGGACAGCAAATTTGATGCCGTTATGATGGATCCTGTGTTGCCCTGTGGACCAATTGTTGCTGAATATCTCTCCCTGCCTTCAGTATACTTCATGCGTGGTCTTCCTTGTACCTTAGACTACAAAGCCACCCAGTGTCCCAGTCCTCCTTCTTACGTGCCGAGGATTTTCATGTCCAGTTCAGATCATATGACATTTCCAGAGCGTGTGAAGAACCTCCTGGTTGGGCTTTCAGAGCATTTGTTTTGCTATCTGTTTTATTTAAAATACGAGAACTTAGCTTCTGAGTTTCTTCACAGAGAAGTGACAGTACTGGAACTGTTTAGCAAAGCATCCGTTTGGCTTATGAGATACGACTTTGTTTTTGAGTATCCGCGCCCAATAATGCCAAATATGGTCTATATTGGAGGCATCAACTGTGAGCAGAAGCAGCCATTATCAAAGGTTTGTCATTGTTTACATTGTGAGCATTATAGAATTTACTAGCAATTATTTAAGATTTGCTTTTTTAAGTGCTTCCTGTAGTAGTACTCTGCTTGAACCAGTACGTGATCAAATACTAGGATGGTATGATTTGGAAGTAGGAATCTCTGATAGCTGATCACAAGACTCACACTGCAAGCAGCTGAAGGGTTTCTCTCCAGGAGAGTTTAGGTGAAGTTGCCTAAGCTATGGAGCTGCCTAGGTATAACTTAGCTTGTTGTAAGCATGTCACCGCATCACTCTTACCACTCATCGCATGTAGGATGTATCTACAGAAATGACAAAATGGTTTTAGGTCATACGATCTAATATCCCTAACAGTTGTGGAATACTGATTAATCACAGGAGACTTGATTGGACAAAAAAATGGAACTGTGGAACTCTGTGTGTATACCCAGGCACTTAGAGCGTGCCACAGAGATTGATAATGTGGGCAAATATCCCAGAACCAGGGGTACGCAACGAAGATGGTAGAGGGAGCTCTTTTGCCTCTGAATTTGTGTAAGAAGCAATGTAAGACAGCATATAAGAGGGTGATTAGAAAAAAGAAGGATTCAGGATTGTAACTACCTACGCTGCCTCCCTAGCTTGTTTAAATCTCCCTAGTGAGCTGTGCCAGATCTCAGTCATTCACCCTGTTTTTCAGACCACAGTGGTGTTGCAACAGCAGAAGTTCTTGCTAAGCTTGCGTCGCATTTACTACTGTAGACTCTGGGCTTTCACTTAGATAACTGGTACAATACAGAAACAAATCTGAAGATAAACCTTATCAACTCATAGTATATCAAATCTCTGTCAACCACTGCATCTTGTTTAGACTCCGAGAGCAGAAGGTAATGCAAAGGTCAGGCTTTTGTTCTGAGTCTTGTGGCCAATCAGCTGGGCAGACTCAAGGCAAGGAGTTGATCATTAACTGGATGTTAATAAGACAGTGATTGCTTGGTCAGGTGTTACCTGCCATTCATAACGCTGTTCAGCCTTTCAGTGTGACACATGGCCAATTGCTTGACACCTCTCCCTCGAGCATTTGAACCCTCTAATTTTAATTCAAGCCTTCAACTCTACCTCGCAGCGCCCAGTTGCTGAAAGCATTCACCATGTGCATAGATGCTAAACCCAATTTTTACGCAGAGTTAAAAATTACTCTTGTTTCTGCCCACAAATATACAGTCTGTTAAAAATTAAACGCTTACCTTATTTAAGGCTAAAGTGCAAAGTACACCACGATTCCCCTGCAATAGTTTTGTGGCCATTTAAAACTTTGCTGACAGCACAAGGAAAATGACTTCTTCAAATCCAGAATTTAATTCTCTTGCTTCCTGGGTGGTGTTTTTCCTGCTCCCGTGGACGTTTTCTGAAGGTGGAAAGCTTTTGGTTGTACCTATTGATGGCAGCCACTGGCTCAGCATGCGCCCGGTTCTGGAGCGTCTCAGACAGAGGGGGCATGAAATCGTGGTGGTTGCACCAGAGATAAATCTGCGGATAGATTCGTCAGTGCATTATACCATGAAAACATACTCTGTGCCTTATACCAAGGAGTATGTAGAGGCAGAATTTAAAAAGACTGGCTATAGGAGTTTCACACCTCAATCCTTCTCGGAAAAATTCTCAAAAATGGCAAATATTACAGCCATGTTCTTTGATTCCTGCAAACGTCTTCTGTCTAACAAAGAGCTGATCGAATACCTTGAAGAAAGCCAATTTGATGCTGTCTTTATGGATCCTTTTTTTCCATGTGGACAGATAGTGGCTGAACATCTCTCCCTACCGTCAGTGTACCTCGTACGGGGACTGCCGTGCAGCCTAGACTTCCACGCTACCCTCTGTCCAAATCCTCCTTCGTACGTTCCTAGGTTCTTCACTCGCTACACGGACCGCATGGCGTTTCTCCAGCGCGTGGGCAATCTCATAGCTAGCCTCAGCAGTTCGCTGGTCTGCAGCTTGCTTTATTCATCCTATGATAGTTTGATTGAAGAATTCCTCCAGCGAGAGGCAACACTGCTTGAGCTGTACAGCCACGCGTCGATTTGGCTCATGAAGTATGACTTTGTGTTTGAGTACCCCAGGCCCTTAATGCCCAATATGTTCTTGATCGGAGGCATAAACTGCGCTCAGGAAAAAGCATTATCACAGGTTAGTTACCTTTTTTCCCCTAGTTTAGCTATAGCTGCACTGTTTGCTCTTGCCACGAGATGGAGCTCCCGGCAGCTCCATCAGGAGAAAAGCTCTTTCTCCAAGAGGAGAAAGAACGAGGTGGAAGTGGCTAGAAAAAGGACTTTGTACCTCTGCATCCCTTGTGCAGTGAGGAGTAAGTTATTTTGTGGGAGAACTCCAGATTCCCAGACCAGCATGCACAAAAAGCTGGGCATTTCCCTCAATATTTTCCAGCAGCCTATTTCCAGTAATTTGATTTGGTATACCTGTTTAACCAGACCTGGTGCTAGCTGGGGTAATGCAACGGGCCAAATCATGCTAGTCTTCTGCCTGTGAGGACCATCCCTGCAGTAATTTCAGACAGTGACAGACCTGAATGAAATCCCCACCACCCAGTGAAGCAACAAGAGATCATACTCTTTTGCATAAAATATTCTGTCCCAGATCTGGAGCGAAACTCTATTTTGCTTGAACTATGCCCAACTTCCTAAATACGGGATATCTGCCACTTTCCACTAAGAAATCCTCCTAATTCTGAGTGCTTTCTCTAATTTTTCAATGAGAATGCACTGCAGGTATTTTGTAAAAGTTGTGTGTACCACACACCAATACAAGCAGCTGCTTGTTAAGAAGTCTCTAGGAAAATAACCCACCTGTTCCCAAAGCAGAGCTGCAAAAAATTTCATAACAGTAGTGGCATTTCTGACCAGAAAGTCAGACCTTGGTACACAAAACCATTTAAAGAACAGAGTAAAACTGATGTGTCAAGTCTCACAGAAAAAGGGCTAAATACACCCTGAAATAGCCATATCTGTTCCCCAGCATCAGGATTTGCCAACAAATTTTGTACCTAAAGCAGATTTGTAGTTTGGGGGTGATTTTGCAGTTCCCAGATGTCTGGTTGGGAACTCAACCCTCCATTCTGTATAAACTCGCAGACATCTAGGACGCCTTGGTGGAGAGCGTGTCTACAGAGAAATGAGGTAAGACAGAAACAAGCCCTGAAATGAGACCTACGTTTCGCCTTGTTTGCCCCCAGGAGAGCATCAGGTCTGCTGTTCAAGGTGCAGCAATCGGTAAACCTTCAATGTCTCCTTCTAGTCAGGATCCAGCAAAGGGCCACAGCACTCTGGTCAGCCACAAAAATACAGAACAGAGCGTAACTAAGAGGGTCAATCTTGATTACCCCCTCAGACCCTAGAGATAACATTTCAATTGCCAGACTTACCGGAACATTCAGTTAATTTTACTCCACTCGTTTAACTCTGACGCCTGCAGCAATTCCCTCCATTTTCATCTTTCCTTCCCTGGCTTTACCAAATATTTTTCTATGGCACAGGATATTTGCTCCAGCCATCAGTTACTTTTATGCTTCATCGGAATCCTTTTGTTCTCGGATTCCAGTGACAGATCTCCTAGTCTTTCTTTTATTTAAATCAAACAGAACAGATTAAAAAAAAAAAAAAAGCAGTGGTTCAGTATTATCATGCTCAAAGCAGACCCAGTAAATCCAGATATTAAAAATCAGAGCTATCTGCTGTCAGAACACTTTTCAAAATCTTACTTTTCTCTTGCAGCTGCATGGTCTGAAAAGATAACCATCACCTCTAAAGTCAGAGCATCTGACTTGCAATAAATGTGAAAATAAACCACAGTGTATTCACCTGGGGATTGGTTGCCAGGAAAAGCATGATGATGAGTGGATCTCCTTAACTGGTACAGCATCTTTTTTAACTGCACAGGAACCAATGTCTTTGAGCAGGCAAGCTTTGCCATGTGACTCTCGTAAATTTTTTTCTCAGGTCCATACTGAATCTTGATTTGGGCTTCAATTTTGGAAACATGCACCTCCATAACTTTGTTCATCCACCTGTGCTATTTCCTCTCCCTTGAGACTCATTTTCATACAGATATCTTATTTTCCTGATCATAATTTTCTTGTGTTGACTGGTCATTTTATTGCCTTTGCAGACAGTTTTCTCTGAACATGACACAAGTTAGAGCGTATCATGAGGAAGGGACTTTGACTAAGCATTTGCTTTGTGTTGGCAGGAATTTGAAGCTATTGTGAATGCCTCTGGAGAACACGGCATTGTCGTCTTCTCGCTGGGCTCCATGGTCTCTGAGATCCCTATGAAGAAAGCCACAGAAATTGCAGATGCCTTGGGGTCTATACCTCAAACGGTTTCCCTTCCAGCACAGCAATTCGAGACTGTTTTCAAATAGAGCATATGATTACCTTCGGCTTTCAGTGTGCTTGGTCCTCTCTTTTTTCTCCTGCTCCCTGATGCCAGAAGAAACTCTCCCCCCAGCTGCTCTGCACAACGAAACAGGTTTTGTACTCCACAGGTGTTTTTAGCTGTGCTTTTCAAACCCACCAAGGAGCAGCAAGAGGCCAGTTTCCGACAACTGACGCTGTGCTTCCTTCTCTTGAAAGGTCCTGTGGCGATACACGGGAGAGGAGCCCCCTAACCTGCCAAAGAACGTAAAGCTCGTCAAATGGCTGCCACAGAATGATCTTCTAGGTAGGCCTGAGATACCAGGAGCGATACCAGCACGCTCCTTTTAACCTGAGGCTGCTGTTGTCAGGCACCATTAACATCCCTCTGCTGACTCCCTGTATCACTGTGGGTCACAGGAGTTCCTTACAGCCTTTGCTGTTTGAACCAGAGTTTGTTTTGGAGAAACTTACCTGATTGCAACTTCAGAATTGCCGAATTATGTAACAACACTGTTTGGAAAGGTGTTCCAACACTCGACTATCCTTACTGTCAAAAATGGGGGTCTGACCAGCCAGTCTCAACACCCAGCTGTGGGGTTTTGTCATGTTTCTATATATTGAGCTGCAAAGAAAATTTAAGGTCCCCAAATGAGCATTTCCAGGCAGGTCATCGGGCTTTTCAAGTGATAAAATTGTATGTGCTATTACCAGGAGTGCATTTGTTGGTTAGACAGTAGGGCTCAGCTGTCAGAGATCTCCAAATGGCAGATATGGTAAAAAAGTAAGCAATATTATCATCATCTTCAACCTCACTTGTCTGTGATTTCATCCTAACATCTGAGGAGCTTTGGAGGATTATCCAAGGCTTTCCAGAGATTACCCAAACCAAGACAGAGCTCTACAACCCAAGTTGATTCAATCCCCTGTAACATCCTGTTCTCTGCAGCCCTAAGTCTGTCCATAAGTAATGACGCACGTGACAGCCCAAACTTCTTGATTTATACCTGCCAGTGCCATTTTTGCACAAGTTTTTCCCCAGGGATGTGTTAGTGTGACTTAACACATCAGAAAGCTAAGCAAGCGTTTCTTTCCTCCACAGCTCACCCTAAGACTCGTGCCTTTATTACCCACGGAGGCTCACACGGTGTTTACGAGGGCATATGCAACGCGGTGCCAATGCTACTAATGCCGCTATTCGGAGACCAGATGGACAACGCCAAGCGAGTAGAGTCACGGGGAGCAGGGCTGACACTGAATATACTAGAAATGACTTCGAAGGACATATCCGCTGCCCTGAAAGCAGTTATTAATGATAAAAAGTCAGTAATGATACTCAGCCTTTCTTCTACTGTTGTGTAACACCAGCACTCTACCTTCCAGCTTAACAGAATGCTAATCTCTTCTTACCTGCCTTCTTGTATCAAAGCTACAACATTGAGAAGCTGATGCTTGCCCAGGGTTAGCCTCACCCTGTCCCTGTAGCAGCACTGTCCTCCTCACTGCCCAGGGTTATAACCATTAGGTGCCAAGAACCAGCTGATCTGAGAGGATGCAGGTATCAGAGAAGAAGGGGTACAGATGCAATGGAAGGAATCAAGCTGACAAAAGATGAGCCACCTGCTTAAAGCCAGACTTACCAGACAGTGATACAGAGGGCTTTGACAAAATGTGGTAGGTAAGGCAATCAGTGAAGGGAGATATGGCAAACTGCTTTTGTCCCCCAAATCAGTGGTGACATGAGTCAGTGGGGAGCCTGAAAAGCTTGAAAGGCTCAGCTGCCTGGCAGATTTTCTTTGCATGAGGCTTGCCCAGAGATGCTTTCCTCCTGCACAGCAACAGGAAGAAGGAGACAAGTGGCAGTGCCTCCATATAGTCCAGAGGCTGTACCGAGTCAGGAAGCATTGCCTTCCAGCTGGCAGCGTTTACTAAACATAGCTATTATCACTTATTCATTTTTACAGACCAGTTTTCTCAAGTCAGTTTTCCTCCCCTAGTGCTCATAAGGAGCTGTATGAGCCCAGCCAGCTGCTGCCTAGCTCAGCAAGGCTGGACAATTCCAGTACAGACCAGGAGGAACACAGGCAGGTATGCTGCGGTGGCACAGGGAACCAGGCGAGACATCATAGCATTGCAGTCAGGACACCCAAGGTGCTTTAAGGCATCGCAGGGCAGCTATAAGATATAGCCTCCTCTTCCCTCCTCCCATTCTCTGTTGTTGTTAGGGCCTCTCAGTCCTTGGCATCCTCTTCCTCATCATGTTTCTGAGAATGACACCTTACTGCCATTGTTTCCTATCCATTGTTCTTATAGCAATAATAATACCACATATTGTTCTCCAGCTGGACAGCTTTTCTACACCCTGTCTCGCATTTCAGACAGATGCCTTCATCCTTCATCCCATTTTGCTGACAGCTCAAACTAAGCTTTTCCACTTCTTTTTCTAATACATTTTCTCCTCTATTTGTCATTGCAAAGAGCACTTTTCTGGGCCTGTAACTTTGCCCTTACCCTTTTCATGGGGTGGGGGGGAACACCACCAGAGAAGCTCCCAGTGGGCCATCAGACCACTGACACTGCATCTGTCTTTTCTGGAGACTCAGTCTCAGCAGCACAGTCACTGAAAACACCCAACGTCTTTTCTTGGCAGGTACAAAGAGAACATCCAGCGTCTCTCAGACCTTCATCTTGACAGACCCATCCACCCCCTGGACCTGGCTGTGCACTGGGTGGAGTTCGTAATGAGACACAAAGGGGCCCCGCACCTGCGACCCGCTGCTCATGACTTGAACTGGATCCAGTACCACTCCCTGGACGTCATCGCCTTCCTCCTTGCCGTGGTGTTCCTCTCCCTCTTCATTTCCCTGAAGTGCTGCCTGTTCTGTTGCCGCAGGTGCTGCTGTAAGAAGGGAAGAACAAGAAAGCCAACCAAGTCAAAGTCCCACTAGCAGATGAAACCACTGGTAGGAAATTAGGCCTCTGCTCCAGACCAGAAGGATCAGAGAACATCACAAAATTCACTAAAATAATTCCTGACTTTCAGTCAAGAAATAATAGCATTCCTTTAAAGTAGCACCACAGGAGGAGTTGTTTCACTGATATAATTTTTGCCTTTAATTACGAATCAGTTGTTAAAAATAACTTGTATAGAAGTGCTTCAGTCACTTGGGAAGATATTAGTGTGAAGCCCAAGGCTCCTGGCTTCCACGTCTTGGTGTACAGATGACTCATGGTGATGTTTTTTTCATTTTTTGACCTTTATATGCAATGGAGATACATAGGGATTTCATAAGACTCTGCTTCAAGGGCTTTAGGAGAACCATTGGCTCTAGTGTAAGACTGTCAGGTTTATCAAACACTTGGAAATCTTTGTATAGCTGTTGTTACAGAACAGGCAAATGTTATACACTGACAATACCTGGTCACATAAGCCAAGTTAGACGCACATCTTAAATGGGTTTTGTGTGTGTTTACAATACCCTGAACAAAATTAAGGTTTTGGCAGGGAACTGGTTGTAAAGCCACTGGTGTTTGACCCAAATTCCCTATCAGGCAGAGTGCTGGACCTGGAGCTTACCTGTTAGGTGACGAGACCTTTGTAAGCAATGTTTATAACACCCAACTGATCTACTCTTTGTAAGTGATGTTCAGGTAAACCCAAACCCCAGCCCTATAAATAAATCCACAGTACTAACAACAACGGCTTTTGTGTTCGCTGACTTGAGAGGTTTGGGGCTGAGTGCTTGCTGATCGTGGAGAGAGGGCTGGAGCAGGAAAAGATTCAACCCCTATGCTGTGAAAGCTACCTCAATGCACAAAAGCCAGTTCCCAGTATTACTGTCTCACTGCTTGCTGACTTGGTCCTCGCTGAGCAGTTACAGCCTCAGCCTGCCACAGTCCCCCCTACAAAAAAGCCTGAAAAGGCCTTAAACTTAAGGTAATATTAGTAACGTGCTGGTATGTCACGGCAGCACAGGCGTCCTGCTGAGTCCCTGGGGCTGTTATTTTTCTATTGCTGTTTGAAAAAGCAGCTACTTCAGTGAAAGCTGTTAAGTTCAAGAAGACAGCCCCTCTCCTCCTCAGCCTGTCCCAGTTGCAGTGCCTGATTCTTGCAGCCATCCACACCACCCACAACCCGTCCAGGACCGACACTGGTTATTGCTTCTCCTCCTCTGCCTTTCTCCCATCTCCTCCTGCCCCTGGTAAACAGATACAAACCTTTCTTTGGGACAGGCAGAGACATCCCACGGTGACCAAGAGCTGACTCGCTTTTAAAACGCAGCTTTCACGGCTCCTCGTGTTGCTGAAGTGACAGCTCTGGCTGTCCCCACGGTCCCGGCTGGAGCCGGGTGACAGCAGCGCATCTGCGCCTCTGGAAACGAGACCCAGCGAGACCTCGCAGTGCCCGGCGCGGTGGTTTTGGCGGTCTCCGAGCACGGGGCTGGCTTCCAGCAGCTGTCTGATGCCAAAAAACACTTTAAAACGTCCTTACGGGGATGTTGTCCACATACCCTGCTGCAAACAGGCTCTGGATTGATTCAGTGTGCGGGCGAGACAAAAACCCCTTGATTTCAGACCAGATGAACAGAGTTAAAAAAAAAATATCCCGACTGCAGCTGTTTGTTTCTTCTTCCCAACTCAAAACCTCATGTGCAGGGGGAGAAAAGGAGCTAAGAGACAGGGAGGAGGATGCAGAATGCCCATCCCGTGGCTTTCATTCCAGAAAGGTCTCCAACACAGCCAAAGCGAAACAGCAGCGGAACCAGGTACCCTCCTCCTCTCCTTCCCCCTTTGCTCTCCTTAGTCTCGACTAACTTGTCTGCTCCTTATTTTCCCTTGGTTCTCTGGAGAAATGCAGAGGAGAGAGGGGCCTCAGGGAACGTGTGAGGCCAGGACTGGACCACCGTGGCCTCGTGTCCGGTTTCAGCTGCGCCCGGCAGAGGACACTGCGATATCATTAACAGGAGGCAGCAAGGAAAAGGCCATCCTGCCCCGCCAAGCCAGCCCAGGTAGGTTGGTTTGAAGTCAACAGCGACTCCTTTATCCGCCTGTGCTCCAGGAGTACGAACCCTGCTGCGAGTGATGATTTTTCAGAGTGAATTAGGGGCCAAACGGTGTGGGAGAAGCAGCTTCGGTGCAGAGGAGGGAGCCGGAGCGGCCGCAGCATCACTGCAACACAGCCTTCTCAGCCCTTCCCAAGGGAAGAGTGACCCTGGGGTTGCCGTCCCCTCTTACTGCCCCCTAATTGGGTGCCATATAGAGCCACGCTGCCCCTTAAGCAGGGCAGAGAGTCTCCAGCCCCTGCTTCCCTTACTGGGAAAAGGTGAAACCGTCGGCCACGATGCGTTACTAAAGCAACTGAAATCAGGTCACTTCCCAAAAGGGGAAACTGAGGCAGGACCAGCCATCACTCCTCTCCCTGAGTTGTGCAGGCTCCACACCGCCCCAGGGCTCCAGGCACTGCAGCCTGAGCTTTTCCAGCAAAAACTTCCAAATCTCTGTTTGCAAACACCTGTCAAAGACAGCAGCCAAAAGCCCTTCACTGCCCTTGGAGAAAGGAGGCACCTCCCGCCTCCAGCAGCCTCTCAGCACCGCCGGGCGCTCACATAGCACCCTTCAGAACTGTGAAATGAGAGGGGAGCTGTCGCTTTCCATTCCCACCATGGGACTTTTTTAGCATTTATTTTATTTTTGCTTGGATTTTAACATCCAGCCTTGCAACAGTAAAGCTGGGGAGGGTGAAAGCAGTGCGAGACAGTGCTGCTCCTGGCTTTTCTTGTGACCCTCAGACCCTCCTAGCTGCAAAACATGGGCAAAAGCCTCTTCAGCTTCGGGATGGGGGTATCCTGGGGGACATGGCAGCCCCGGCTCTAGTGGGAAGATGCAGTCAGCATATCTCACTGCTTCCCACCACCCAGACCGCGGGAAATGACAGGAATTGCTGACATTTTTCTGTAACCACAGGGTTTCTGCAGCCTCATCACAGCCCTCCGATCCCTCAGTCCACTGCCATGCGAGCTCCGGGCAGCTCTCAGGCTCCTCCACCTCCCCAGCGTGGGGGTCCAAGAAGACCCCTGGCCTACACGGACACAGAGGGGGACTCACCTCCTTGCAAGACGCACTGAGAAGTTCAAGATGTTCGTTATTCAAGGGCAGAGCAAGAAAAAGCAGCAACCTGCAAACAAGCACTCCCTCCTCCTCCTCCCCTCAGCTGAGACTCCAGGGCCAGAGACCCACAGGTGGGTCCCAGCGCTCTTTCACCCTGTGTGCTCTCACTTGGATGCTTGGATTTTTAGATCATCTCTCTTTTGGGCAGCTTTGTAAAAAGTAAATACTGCTGCTGGCAACCATCCATGACTCCAGTTCAGGGGGTCTCACAGGAGCTCCCAAACCCTCTTTCAGCCTTGTTTCCCACTGTGGGAAAGCCCTGAAACATCCAGTTTCAGGCACAACAAGCAAGTGCGGTGTCATGCTGACATGGGTGGCACCACACAGCCCCCACGGGAAGCAAAGTTGCCCCACAACATGCCTCGGCCCCTGCATCATTCTCTGGAGCATCCCCAGCACTTTCAGCTGGAGCAGCCATGCAGCGCTCCGATTAATTATCACCTGCAGAGGTTGTTTTTCGGAGATATTTATAGGTGAGAGTGATGAAATCTGGGGAAAGCAATTGCCAAATTCAATCAGGCACAAGATGCAGGACAGCCTCTCACTCTCCAGGGAGGAATGTGCCCTGCGGAACCCTGAGAGGAAGCAAAGAGCCCCGGCTTTAGCATTTAAGCCCAGTGAGCCAGATTAAGCCCATGTGGCAGCTGGGCTCAGTCCGTAGCTTGGTCCATAACCCTGCTGCTGCCAGTGCCGCAGGCTACCGGGACTGAACCAGGCTTACAAAGGAAAGAGAAGATGAAATCTTCATCCAAACATCTCCTCACGCTCTGAGGATGCTGCTCTTTCTGGGAGAGGCAATGCTGTCTATGAGCTCATCTTTCCCAGAGTGAACTCCTGCCCTGCCTGCAGCAGGTGTCACGACTCACACTAACCATCACAAGAAAAGCTGCCGCCGCGCGGACCTGCTGTGACAGGTATTATCAAGTGCTCCCAGCCTCAATTCCCTTCCTATCAAGAACAGGTGAAAGGTTTCATATGCCGGATCTGATTGCTTAGGATGATAAGAGCAAGTCATCAGCACGGGCTGTTCAGGCATCAGCAAATCCCAAATCCCTCCCAGCCAGATATTGGCTGGCTTATCTAAGTGCATGACCTCTCTTCAAAAGCCAGCCTGAACAAATGGAGCAGATTTCTTCCCTGAAATGCTACCAGCCTAGATTATTTTAGTGGCTGGGATAGATCCAAGCAAGCTGCATCTGTTACCAAGCATCCCTCTCTGGCTCATCTTCTCTCCCAGCGAGGGACCTGCCTGCATCCCAGTGACTCGCTTTGTGCTGGAGGAGACTTTGCAAAGTGTCTGCTGGAAGCTTTAATTAACGTTCGGTGGGGGGTAATCAAAGCAGGGCAGGGACCCAAACTTCGTTATCTTCCCGAGGCTGCTGGAGAGACACTGGGGCTGTCCTTTGAGTTTTGCCCACAAATGGTTGGTCAGAACTCCTCAGAGGGGTGGGTCCAAGATGATTTCAGCTCACCATGAGGGATGCTTCGGGATGGATTCGGTGATGGGCAGGGGAAGGAAGGGGAAACCACAATGAGCCGTGCTCCTGATGTTGAGAGTCTTAAAACAGTGACAAAAACAACACATTCATCTCCCCAGCCAGGGGCTTCTTCCTTTTCATGTAGGACATCAGGGTCCTCCCATCCCAAATCAAGCCATCGGTCACCCCTTGCAGAACTGACCACCCGACAAGTGAAGCTTGGCCCTCTTTTGCCCAGGTTTCCCTGCACACAGCCTTTGGGAAAAATATGCCCTTACATTCTGCGTTCTCCACCCCCATTATAACGGAAGAGCCCAAATGTGTCATTTATTGCTTGGAAGTCCCTGAATTTCACTGATAGATGAAGCCTTCCGAGTTGTGAAGAGGTGAGCCCCAGGGGATGCTTCCTGTAAAGCCCCTTATCCAAAAAAAGGACTCCTGAAAGGAGGCGTGAGTACATCACAACACAGATGCATGATGGGAATTACATTTCCAGAGACGATGACAGTCTCCGTCACTCGAGTCCATGTTTTCTGTGGGACCTAGCCTGATTAAGTTGGCTCGGGTTATTGAGAAGTTTATAAAGGGCCCAGCAGGCAAGGAAACCCAAACCTGGAAGAGGATG